ACCTCTGACCTCCTAGGCACTGGCCCGAGCCATGGCTCCTGAAAAGGAAAACCTGGGGATTCCTTCAATGTCCACCATAGGTGATGACAGGCTCAGAGCACCATGGGGTGTGCCCAAGATGATGAGCCCTCCCTGCATGTCAGTAACAGGGACACACATCCCTGATGCACGAGGAGGGAAGAGTCTGAGTGTACGAAGCTGTCTGTCCACGCAGGCCACACGTGGATGGGGGGCTAGGACACGGAACGGAGGAAGACAGGACTCAGAGGACTCCCATCTTATGTGGTAATGTCTTTGCATCGACCACTCTTGTATAAAGACTCACCATCATTTCTCGCAAAGTAATAACGCCATGAGATAACGCCACAGTTTATCTTGTAATGTGGATCAGTCAGGGCCAATTGGAGACGAGCATCGCCCTGAGGCTGACCCGTAGCAGGGGCCACTGGAGCTTTGGGGAATTTGAGATTTCTTTAGCCAAGCCTGGGGTGCACTGTCAGAGAGCACCTCCAGAGATGTTCAAGGCCTTTGTCTCCCCTCTGGAAAGGGCTCCGAGTGGAGTCAGATGAGGGGCCTGTGCTTGCCTACCAGGTTGTTCCAAACGTAGACAGCTGGGCTCCCTGGCAAGCTCCCGGGTGCCCTGTGAGCAGCTCTGACGTCAGTGGACAGTGTTCCCAGTGACCACTGACGTCGGTGGTCGGTCCTTGTGCCCAGCATTGATTTTCCTTCTGCGGTCAAGTTAGGCTGTGTTGCTGGTACTCGCTGTACCTCCAGGTGCTGAGCAAGCTGACCTTGGCCTCCCTGGCCCCATGGCCGCATGAAGCTAATCTCCCGCTACACATCCCGCCCCTCTGGCCCCGCCAACACCAGGGCACAGAGGAGCTGGCCCATGGCTTTCTTGAAACCACGCATTTCATTTCTGATTATAAAACTAAGGTGTGCTGGGCTGGGCACGGTGGCTCACACCTGTAATCTCAGCACTTTGGGAGGCCAAGGTGGGTGGATCATGAGGTCAGGAGATTGAGACCATCCTGGCTAACACAGTGAAACCCAATCTCTACTAAAAATACAAAAAAATTAGCTGGGTGTGGCGGCGGGCGCCTGTAGTCCCAGCTACTAGGGAGGCTGAGGCAGGAGAATGGCATGAACCCGGGAGGCGGAGCTTGCAGTGAGCTGAGATCACGCCACTGCACTCCGACATGGGCAACAGAGCGAGACTCTATCTCAAAAAAAAAGAAAAGAAAGATTATTTGTCATGTCCAAGTGGAATTTATCCCAGGGATGCAAAGATGGTTCAACATATGCAAATTAATGGTTCTTAAGTATTTTTCATCAGGTTTAGTGTAATACCATAAACCTCGAGTGACACCATCAGACCTATATGAAGTGCCACTAGTGATGCTGAAAGTGCTCCCAATAAGCAGGGGAAAGTCATGACATGATAAATTTGAATTGCTTGATATCTGAGTAGCTTGAGGTCTGCAGCTGTGGTTGCCCACCACTTCAGATAGATGACTAATCTTGTAAACAGATGACATAAATTTGCATTATTGACAAATACTGTAAATGTATTTTTCTTCTCTTTCCTAATATTTTCTTTTCTCTAGCTTACTTTATTGTAAGATTCCAGTATATAATACATATA